TTAATGGTTGAAGTATGTTTAAGTATAGAACATATTATTTGTTTTGATATTTATTTATAAGCTAAAGATCTATCAAGGTGAAAGTGATATATTTTCGAGTGGAAGGTTCAAGAATTAACATAGACGGACAACTTTAAAAAACATATTGGTGTGTCAAATAACTTCAATACCAAGAAAAAAGTATTTGTGAAAATCTAATGCAAGTGCAACTACAATAGTTGATCCATGTTGGAATTTACATATAATTTGATCAAGTTAATCATGAATACTGATTCCGCTTAAATGTTTCGGTTGATGTGATAAGACTTCTCTTGAACCAAAGGTTTGACATTTCATGATCACGATAAAAGTGTATCATCATTGAACGAAGGTAATTTTATTGAAATTCTATCATGTTATGGGGATAGAAATGATAAGGTTGAATTTTTTGTATTGAAAAATGCTTCAAAAAACAATAAAATGACTTCTATAGATGTTTAAAAAGAAATTATGTTCATATGTGAGACTGAAACAATTAAATTTGTTAGTTGATAGATCTTTCAATGTGTCCCGCAAAGAGCAAATGACTAAGTTTTATGATATGCAAATAAAGAGGGATTTGCGATAGAGTTGTTCATGTTCAAGATACTAGTATTTTATGTCTGAATAAATCAATTATTAATGTACTTGCTCATCATTGTGGAACTTTTTCTTATGTACATGGACATTGTTATTGATGATGCAAAAAATATGACAAGTGATATCTGTGATCTTAAAATATTGATTAGACAACATAGTGGATCGGCCTATTCTATTCATTGTTTGCTCATCAACCAACTAACCCTTGTTGTGGATTCTAAGAAGAGTGTTCAAGTGGAGAAACTTGTATTACTGGTACTTTGGATGTGTTGGGTTTCTTTAAGTCGTGTGGATGAATTTTGAGAATATCAAAAGAAAAAACTCCAAAGGACATTAAATGTAAGTTAGCTAGAAATCATAGGTGTTGGAATCTAGAATTTGGTCTTATTAAAACCGGTTATACTCATTAGGGATCTCACTACAAGTCGTTTGAAAACTTTTTTCCTGTGGGATATATTGTTGATGCGCTTTATATTTTTGTTGTAGATCTAAGTATTTTATATAAAAGAGCTAAAGTATCGAGATGTCTCAGAAGTAACAAATAGCAAACATTGTTGATTGTCTTAGCTCTTTCATATGAAGTATTTGTATCTTCAACTAGAGTATAAATACATTGACAAAACAACCAAAGTTAGGAATAATGTTTTTGAATGACTTGTAATAATATCCTCAATATTATCATTGGCTCTAACAAGATCGAGTTCTTAATTCAATCATCTATCCATTTCTAGCTCACCTATATCAATGCCTCTTGGAGTTTTCCCTTTTGAGATATTCAAAGTTTATCCACACGTTAAAAAAAGAATCTTCCAACACATCTCAAAATATTAGAAACCAATAATACACACACTCTCAATGGAGCACATTCTCTTAGAGATTACAACAATAGTTAATTGAAGTTGATTGAACAAAACAATGAATAGAATGAGCTGATCTACTTTCTTGTCTAATCAACATTTTAGGACTCCTGATATCACCTTGCATATTGTTTGTGCCATCATAACATTGTCCGCGTACATAAGAAAAAACTTAAAGAATGATTAGCAAGTACATCAAAACTTATTTTCTTTAGAAACAAAACTAGTATCTTGAAAATGAACAGTTTCAATAACTATCATAGATCCTTTTTTATCAACATGTTGTAGAACAATAACCATTTGCTCTTTGCTTGACACATCTAAAGATTCATCAACTAATAGAGCAGCTCAACATAGTAATCACCTTTTAGATCCTCTGTTGTAGCCCGAATTGTTTCTGTCTTATTGAGGTCAAAATTTCTTTTTGGATATATGAAGAAGTCATCCTATTATTTTTTGGAGCATTTTCAACACACAAGATTTGATCTTATAACATCTATACTATGAATAAATTATCCTTATTCGGTGACGATTTATTTTCATCGTGACCGGGAAAGGCCAATCCTTTATTTGGAATAAGTCTTACTACATCAAATGAAGTATTTAAACGAAACCACTATTCATGCTTAACTTGATTAAATTACTGTCAAAAGTGCAACTTACAGTGACTATTGTTGCTGCATCAGATCTTCATAAATCCTTTTTGCTTGATTAATGATATTGCCTCAAGTTTATGTCTAGAATTACCACGACAACACCCATTCTACAAGGATAGGATTTTAGAAAAGTTAGCATATCCAAAAATAGTATCTGCTTCATGGCCTTCTTATGACATTTTAGCCACAGTTGGCCTGCCTGCGAGGCATATGTCAGCAGGCAAATGGATTGAATCAAGTTAAGTTCACAATGAGCAGTGATCCGATTTGATTATATTCCATCCATTTGGATGCTTACTACTGTGCTGTAAGAGGCTCAAGGAAGAGCAGAACCAGGATCAAAGCTAATGTATAAACTATAAAGTTGGCTTTATTTAAGTTGCAGCCTTCATGAATCTCAAAGTCCTCTTTCTTGCTGCTGTATACTCTGTTTGCTGCTTTCTTCTAAGTTAGGTTATTGGTAATATCCAGTGTCATCTTATTCTGTTTGGCTGAAAGGTACTCCCACACTCTTGTCTTATCACATCTAGAATTCCATGGTTTTGGTAACTCAACACAGAGAACCCGACTCTTGGTCATGTATTAAATTGGTCCTATTAGTACAAGTCTGAAATGTGCAACTCCTTCATGGCATTATCATGCCCTTCATTATGTCACTTCGTCTTTACTAGTCTATCAACTATTGATTTTCAACTCCACAGGAGTTTCTATTTATTATTGTATTAAAAAAAAATTCCAAAGGTTTTTGTAGTTTCATCAAGGTCTTGGAAGTTGGTTCCTCTTTATGGCTTTCTTGTAGTTGAGATGAGTCGAGATGATTTATAAGAGGATCACAATCTTATCATCAGATTTTTGATCTCTTAATAAAGAGTTTTCACAGTGGATATTACCTACCAGATTATCTCATTAAGTCTTAATTTGCTCTCGAGAAACATGCCTTTCCTTTTAGATTTTGTTTTGATGGAGGCTGTAAATTTTCACAGGGTAAGGAAACATCTGATCCAGATAATGGCGGACAATTTCCATATTTTGATGAGCTGCATGCACTCTTTTCATCAAATATGAATAATGTACAGCGAGTACAGCTCGAATCAGAGGCTGGCTCCCAACAGGCAAGGAAGAGACCTCGCGGAACAAGTAGAGACCGATCTTCAGAGGAAATCTCAGAAGATGAAGGTTATGCTTATGAGAGTGATGAAGTAAAATTAGCCAGAAGCAATGTTGCTCCCAAAAAGAAAACCGAAAAAGAAAAGCGTCCAAGAACAAGCAATGCAGAAAAAGCTTCAAGACAAGCCAACTTTGGGAGTATTAACAACAACACTGGTAGAGCTGTTGATAATATTCAAGAAATGCTTAAAGAATTCTTTCAGCATCAGCTGAGGATTGAAATGCAATGGAGGGAGACAACAGAGAAGCGTGCTCGTGAAAGAGAAGTATTCGAGCAGGAATGGCGATCGTCAATGGAGAAGCTTGAAAGAGATAGGCTGATGATCGAACAGTCTTGGAGGGAGAGGGAGGAGCAAAGGAGAACGAGAGAGGAGACCCGAGCTGAAAAGAGGGATGCTCTGTTGACAACCCTTCTGAACAAACTCATCGGTGAAAATCATCCTTGAGATGATTCGTCGTGTACTCTGTTTGTTGTTGATTCAAAAATATTTTGGCAAAATTATTAGTTTGGCTTACATAGAAATAGAAAATTTCCAATTTGTAGAAAGTCACAGCTAGATAGATATGCAGGCTTGATGATTACATAGTTCATGTTCTCATTGAGCTTTGGAGAAGAGTGAATTTGTTTGTAATTTAATCAAATTTAATGGTGTATTGTAAAGCTTTCACAGTATTGGCTTCATTATTATTATTTTTTGATGACTGTGGTGTTCGGACTAGTTTGTGAGTACTTCGACTAATTTTATGGGATATCTGATATCCCCACCAATAACATGTATCAAGTAACTCTATCCATCAGGGCTATTATATATGAAAATAATTCACCTAGTATTTTTGTCTAGGTTGGGATATGAATTCGAGATCTCATGGTTCCCAACCCACTCTATTGACCACTAAGCCACACACTGAACCATTTAGTTAATTGATAGAAAACATGGATACCTTAATTTGGTCTTTATTGGTAATTGAATAATCCAACTTTTAAAATGCACAATTTAGGCATTTCAACTTGATTCAAATTAGCTTTGTAAACACCTCAAGTGTCAAATTTAAATGAAAAATTGTGGTTTTAACTCTAGTAAATTGACCAACATGGGTTGTGGTGTACTGATGAGAGTGTTTCACCCTTAATCAGAGGTCTCAGGTTCGAGCCCTGGGTATGGAGAGAATCTTGGTGGGAGCGTCACCCCCGAATGGGCCCTGCAGTGCGCAATTCAGATTTAGTCGGAGCTCCAATGTGGGCTCCGGACTCCGGGTGGAAAACCAAAAAAAACTTTAGTAAATTGCATTAAATGTATTTGGATTCATGTGAAAAGAAAAAACTACAAAAATCAAAACAATTATCTGTAGTCCTATCTGACCATATCTGCCTGTTGATATAGACATTCTTTATATCTTTATACCAACTACCACCTACCCATTATTGTAGGGTCTCATTTGCACTTCTATTTCTCTTTTTTTATTATTGTTTTTTAATTTATAATTCCAAGCCATTTTTTTAATATATAATATTTAAAAATTTCAATCAACACACCGTTGACATAGAATGGATCCGCCCCTGTTTGTTTGTGGGGGTGGGGGTGGATTAAAATTTTCAATAATATCGTACCATGCCCTCCCTAATCCTAAATCATTGACTTTAAAAACTTCAATTGAATCATTATTACTCCACCACTAGCTTCATCTCTTTCTTACTCCAAAAATGGAAAAAATTCAAATCATTTCAACTTGTTTAATTGGAGCAACAACAAATGATGAATCAATTTCATACAAAAACAGTACCCCTAAAGTTTCTAAAATTGAAATGACACCATGGGATTTACGATTCCTCCTTCTTGAAACCATCCAAAAAGGTCTCATTTTCCACAAACCAAAAAAAGAGGAAAACAACATTCATAAATCATCATTTATTGACCACTTAAAAAAATCCCTTTGTCACACTTTACATTTCTTTCCACCTTTAGCCGGTCGATTTTTGATCGTTAAAAATTCAGACGACGATACAGTTTCTTTTTTTATAACATGTAACAATGCTGGAGTGGAATTCATCCACGCCAACACTCCAAAATTAACTGTATCTATGATTCTTGATTCTTTATTTGGGGTTCAAATAACAGAGCTTGTTGATGGTTATTTTATTGGATGTACTATGAATCATACATTAGTTGATGGTACTTGTTTTTGGCATTTCTTTAATTCTTGGGCTGAAATTTCTCGTGGACATAAAATCATTTCTAAAATTCCAATTTTAGAACGTTATTTTCCGGAGAAAATAGAAGTCCCAATTCATCTTCCCCTGAATTTGGATGATGAGAAATTAATCGAAAAAATCGAAGTTCCAACGTTGATGGAAAGGGTATTTCATCTTAGTAAAGAAAATATTGTTAGACTCAAGAATAAGGCCAATGATGAAATGGGTATTAACTCGATTTCTTCTTTGCAAGCTTACTTGGCTCATCTATGGCGATGTGTTACTCGATGTCGTAAGCTTGATGCTGAGAAAGAAGTCATCGTCACCATTCCTATAGGTGAGTTATACTTTCAATTTGAGATCATAATGATCAAAAACGTACTTGAACTATCACTTTTTTGCACTTAATTTTCAATCATTTCTTTTTACGACTTGAACTCTCATCATCTATATGTTACTAAGAGTTTGTTTTAAGTTAATCCAAGCAGGTTCTAAAACACACTTAGTTGAGTAGATGATGATGTCTTAGGTAGAAAAATAGAACAACTAATCGTTGGTCTAGTTAATTATGAGGTGTATTTTAATACATGAATAGTGATAGTTCAAGTATAAACTGATAATTGAGGTGTGAAACTTGCAAGAAAGTGATACTTCAATTATATTTTTGACTATTAACTATTTTGATTTCTTGACTCATATAGTGAAAATGTTCAAATATGTCATTGAATTATGAGAAATGGCCTAGTAAATCTTCTAGTAATAGTTGTGATAAAATTGATCCACAAATGTACTTACTCAATAATGATGAAAACTTTTCAGTTTCAATGGCACTTTCGTAGAGCGTAGAGAATCGATTATTATAATGGTGGTTTATCTAGAGCGATGATCGATGTCCTACGTGACATAATACATGTAGGACACAAAATTGTCACGCAGTATGTCATGTAGGACAAATGTGTCTATTTATTCAATTTTATATAAGTTTAAGTGTCTACTTATGCACATCCAAAGTTAAATGTCAAGTTGCTCGCTGAATTCAAGTTAAGGGTCATGTTTATGTTTAACGTCAAACATAAATATGTCATTTAACTTCACCTCATTTCACATTTATGTCCTCTATCTTTGGGTGTGCATAAGTAGACACTAAAACTTGTATGAAGTTGCACAAATTATAAACACACACGTCCTACGTGGCATGCTGCATGACAATTTGTGTCCTATGTGGTGTCCTACGTGTATTATGATACATATGACTCATGCACACCCAAAATTGAATGACATAAATGTGAAATAAAGGCAAGTTAAAGGACACATTTATATATTATACATTTCCCTTATGTATATAATTGGTTCCTCACATGTAGGTCTAACTCTTTTTTTTATTGAGCATACATACATGTAAAATGTTTTAATGTTTCTACGTGACAATAAATTTCAAACTCATGATTGTTATTATGTTTTAATATCATATTGAATTATGTTATCATTACATCTAAAAATTTAAACAATTAAAATAAAAATATACTTTAAATAACTTAAGTATGTCTTCCACAAGTCCCATTACTACTTTAAATAACTTAATTATGTCTTCAACAGGCGCAAGATCAAGACTAAATCCTCCTCTTCCAAAAGGGTATTTTGGAAATGCAATTCATGGCAAGCAAGTAAAGACAAGTGTAGGGGAGCTACTAGAAAATGGACTAGGATGGGTTGCAATGCAAATAAACAAGATGGTTGTTTCTCAAAACTCTGAAGAAGTGGTGAAAATATACAAAGGATGGGTTGAAAATCCAGTTATATTAAAAAAGGGGTCAGTATATGAGGGGAATAATAGATTGCTCATTAGTAGTTCTCCAAGGTATAATATTTATGGTAATGATTTTGGTTGGGGAAAACCAATTGGTGTGAGGAGTGGAATGGCAAATAAAAGTGATGGGAAAATTACTTTATTTCCTGGTGAAAAAGAAGGAAGTGTAGATATTGAAATTTGCATTGTGCAAGAGACTTTGCAAGCATTGGAGAATGATCAAGAATTCATGGAGTTTGTAACCAAGACTTAAAACTTCCTTACTAGGATCAACTTTTTGTGTTGTATTTGCTTATTTACTTTTTGTTAATAAGTATTTTCTCCGTTTCAATTTATGTGATGTAATTTGGCCCACGTTGCAAGGGTCATTCTATACCTTGCCGGGGTATATGATGCTACTGGAACTATGGATCTATCTAATAGGCCTTCTCAGTGGCAGTGAGGAATCACACGATAAATTGTTCAACTTTATACAAGTTTAAGTGACCACTTGTGCACACCCAAAGTTGGAGGACATAATTGTTAGTTGAAGCCAAGTTAATTTTTCATGTTTATATATTATACCTATAATTAATTAAGTACTAATGAGACTTATGGAAGACATAATTAAGTTATTTAAAGTATGTTTTCCTTTTAATAGCTTAAACTTTTAAATGTAATGATAACATGATTTAATATGATATAAAGACAGAATAACAATATTGTCATGTAAAAATAATTTATTTGTGTGCTCAATCAATGAAAGAGTCTGACCTACACATGAGGGAGGTGTTATATACATAAGGGAAAAGGTCCAATTATGCCGCTAAACTCTGAGTATTGACCTAAGTATGTCATTCCTCAATATAGCTGGGGTAAAAGTTGATGATAGTTCAGGTAGTAAAAAAAAACAATTATATTAAGCATAAAAAAAATACAGTCAAAGTGCATTTTTAACCATCATCTCAAATTAGAAGTGTGCTCACTTATGAGAATGGTGATGAGGACTTGTTCCCTAGCATCAAGCTTACGACAACGAGTAACAGATCACCATAGTATTAAGAACCGTTTCAATTATATCATATGAATATCTTATTAAATTCATAGAAATATTTTTTTTTAAAAAAGTATATACAATTTTCTTCGTTAACTAATTACACAAAAATATATTTCAATTAAAGATAAAATAGTTAAAGTTCCAACGTTCAAATAATTAGTTTTGATTGTCGGTGAAGAGATAATAATATCCATATTGAGCATCAACAGGCCCTTTTCGATCGATCTTGCATGTGAGTTGTGATCATTTTCCAGTATAATTTTTATATGTGAGGAGTCGGAAAATATTGGGATGTATTCAGATTTTATCTCTATTTTTATGAGGATGAATTATAATTTTGATAAATTCTGGTCTTTTCAAAACATGATTAGAATGAAATGCAAAAACAAAAAAAAAAAACTAGGATGAAAATACAGCAAGTGTTTGGCCATGAAAATAAAATATTTTCGTACTTTTTTGGAATTTTTAAAGTTAGAGTTCTGTATAGTCATATTTTTGCAGAAAATATTTAGAATTTGAATTATTTTTTTTGAATATGATTTATACCCCCAATTTTTAAAACCTAGAAAAATCATCCAACTTGACTAATTTACTAGAAAACATACAATCAAATCTGCTCTAAAATAGTAATATCTCAAAAATAGATAGTCACATAATGTTATTTATTAGATCCATATAAACCGTTCTTATTATTATAAAACATTTTTTCACTTTATTTTAAAATTTTGAATTTAATTGTGCTTGATTATATTTTTCCCAAATAATATTTGATTGTTTGAAGGTACTTAAATTAAAAAAATATATAAAAATATAATTTAGATAAGGTCATTTTCTTAAAATAAAAAAATTAGACTAAAATTTGTAAAATAAAAAAATTGTGAAAATGGAAACAAAATAATGAGTTTTTATTTTTAAATTCAGTCCTCTCTGAGACTCTGACCATATGGGCATGTTGATATAGACATTTTTTTTATCTCTTTATACCAACTACTACCTACACTTTATTGTAGGGTCATTTGCACTTCTATTTCTCTCTTTTTTAAAATTGTTTTCTCATAGTAATGATTTTTTTACGAGTAATAAATTTATATTTTCGTATCATAAATTTCATAAATTATGCCTTTATGTGACTTTGTTTTCTAAAATTTTATGTCTCACTTGATATTAAGCTTTAGTTCAATCGTTAAAATGTAAAAATTAGAATCCAACTAATTTAAAATTTAAAAGTTAAAAATTAACATATTTAAAGCGCAAAACTATAATTTTATGCATATTTGTGGGGGTGGGGGGGGGGGAGGGTTCAGCAATTGTTTGTCATAAAAACAAGGCCATGACAGATTGCTTTGGACTTTGAGGGCAATATGGTCAGTCTAACATATTTTGATGCAATACTTGTAGGACGGTTCAAAGTCGAATCAAAATCAATAATTCGAATAAAAAATTAGTTATTGATTTAACGGTTTTCATTTTTTTATTATCGGATTATCGATTTATAATAGTTTGAGATTTTTTCTTAACCGGTTAGTCAATAGTTCGATAGTAAATTAATTTATACCATTTGGTATATAAAGTACTTGAGTTATAGTTTAATTTCATACTTTTATTTCTAGCTATCTCGAACTCTTTGGTTATTCTACAATGTATCAGTGTTTGCTTTTGTTTTTGAGCAAGATGCAATCTGTCAACTCACGTGCATGGTTCATTTGGTTTGTTGCCTTATTTCTAAGTGATTTTCAATGTGTTTTTTGTGTTTCATCTTAACGGTTAAACCAATAATCAATTCAATAATAATTAATAACTGATAAGTCAATTTTTTTAATGGTTCTATAACGATTTAGTATTCCTCCAAATTTATATCGATGGATTCGATAAACTACAAAATCGGAACAAACCGACCAATACGTTGGAATAAAAAAATGGAGGGCTGGTAGCTGCATCTAAAACATTTTTTATTTTTTTTACCATTTTACCCCTTAATACATATGTCAAAACGACAGTGTTTTGAGACAATTTATCTCAAGTGGACCCCACTTTGCCCCCACCTCATTTTGATTACACAGCTGCCTTTTTGTCTGTTTTCAACGTGTGCGTCTTTACGTCTTCCGTTACTAATTTATATCTTATAGTTTAACTAATATGAAATTTTAAAAATATAAAAGACTTTGTAATATTTCAAAACTATTCTCAAAACTTAACAATAAGTTTTTAAATAAAAAACTACATGAATAAAATATAAATAGTATTATCAAAACGGACTAAAAAAAGTACATCTCATTCACGTGAAAGTTATAAGTTTTCAATTCCAAAAAAATTGTAGCGTACTTTCACTTTCTAATCATAATATCTTTGGAATATGGATTTAAATTGTATATATATTGTAATGTAAATTATTTTTAAAACTTCGTATCGAGTTGAACAAAATGAATGAAATATTATTTATACTTAATTAACTTGATATGATAACAATAATAGTAATATTTTTCAAAATTTGAAAATAGAAAATGTGGAAACAAAATTTCCGATACCGTACTATGCCCTTTCATGGTTCGTTGGTTTGTTACATTATTTCTAAGTGATTTTCAATGATTTCTTTTGTGTTTCATCTAACTGTTAAATTGATAACCGAATCGATGACGATTAATAACCGATGAACAAGCGAATAAATCAATTTCTTAGTGATTTTTATAACAATAGAAAATACCGAAATCCCCCCCACCCACCCACCCACACACACACCCTCCAATCCTATATCATTGGCTTAAAAGACTTCATTGGTTATTACTCCACCACTTGCTTGATCTCCATCTTCCTCATAGTTTTTCTTCCAAAAATGGAAAAAATTCAAATAATTTCAACTTGTTTAATTGGAGCAACATCAAATGATGAATCAATTTCATACAAAAACACCCCTAAAGTTTCTAAAATTGAAATGACACCATGGGATTTACAACTCCTTCTTGACACCATCCAAAAAGGTCTCATTTTCCACAAACCAAAAAGAGATGAAAATAACATCCACAAATCATCATTTATTGACCACTTAAAAAAATCCCTTTGTCACACTTTACATTTCTTTCCCCCCTTAGTCGGTCGATTTTCGATCGTTAAAAACTCAGACGACGATACAGTTTCTTTTTTTATAACATGTAACAATGCTGGAGTGGAATTCATCCACGCCAACACTCCAAAATTAACTGTATTTATGATTCTTGATTCTACACACGTACCGAGTATTATTCACTCTTTGTTTCCATTGATTAATACTCGAAATTTCGAAGGTGTTACTAAGCCTTTATTTGGGGTTCAAATAACGGAGCTTGTTGATGGTTATTTTATTGGATGTACTATGAATCATACATTAGTTGATGGTACTTGTTTTTGGCATTTCTTTAATTCTTGGGCTGAAATTTCTCGTGGACATAAAATCATTTCTAAAATTCCAATTTTAGAACGTTATTTTCCGGAGAAAATAGATGTCCCAATTCATCTTCCCATGAATTTGGATGATGAGAAATTGTTTGAAAAGTTCGAAGTTCCAACGTTGATGGAAAGGGTATTTCATCTTAGTAAAGAAAATATTGGTAGACTGAAGAATAAGGCCAATAATGAAATGGGTATTAACTCGATTTCTTCTTTTCAAGCTTACTTGGCTCATCTATGGCGATGTGTTACTCGATGTCGTAAGCTTGATGCTGGGAAAGAAGTCATCATCACCATTCCTATAGGTGAGATACACTTTTAATTTGAGATCATAATGGACGAAAACGTATTTTGAGCTTAGTTTTCAATCATTTCTTTTTATGACCTGAACTATACTAAGGGTGTGTTTGGTATGAAGGAATCCAATTTTCTCATGTTTGGTTGGGTTAAATGATTTGGAAAATGTTTTTCAAATCAACTCATTTTCCTCAAATTTAAGGAAAATGACTTCCCTTCAAAACTTAAGGAAAACATTTTTCAAAACTCTCTTCCAATTTTCAATTAAAAAAAAAATTGTTGAAAAAATTAATTTATTTGGTCCCTACCCTCAAACCAACCCCACCAATCACCCACCCCCCCCCCAAAAAAAATAATAATTTAAAGTTTGTTTTTAAATTCAATATTTTTACCCCACCCCCTACCACCACCCCTCCCAAAAAAATATTAAAAGTTGTTTTTAAAAGATATTTCTAATTTCAATTTTTTTATTTTTTTACACCCTCACCTCCTACCCTCGCCCCCCCAGCCACCTATCCCACCCCCTTCAAAAAGAAAAAAATTAAGTTTGTTTTTAAAAAATATTATTTCATTTTTTCATTTTTTCATCCTTAATGGTTGGCATTGGATTAAGGAAAGGTTGAGCTTCCGCTACATATACTTGAGGCACATATTGAACATTAGGGATTGCAGTGTGTGCCACCGATATATGTTGGGTCGTTTGGTATTTTTGGGAAGGTAAGGCGGTTTGGGTGAGTGGGGTAGTTTGGGTGACGGGAGTTTGGGTAAGTGAAGTTTGGGGTGCATATGGGGTAGTGAAGGGTAAAGGGTTGGCTTGTTGCGAATTGTTTTGCGGAAAGTTGGGTTGTTGAGGGTTGGTGGATTGTTTGGAAGCAGTTGGATTGGTCTTGTGAAGGGAAGGGTTTGGTGGAAAGTATTGAGGAGTAGGAGAGTCAACATGTGGAAAAAGAGGCGGAGTAGCTGTGTTTGTTCCATGCTCGGAAAGTGGCGTGTTCAAAGTGATGGACAAATTGGTGAGGTTTCGAAGTCGATCAATCTCACTTTGCATATCGGCCATTTTTTGTATCAAATTGGCAATGTGTACATCATAAGGGATTGGTTCCATTCCTTCCGAAGTCTCGGGTTCATCTCTCAGGACAGTGACAAGTCCCAAACCATTTTGATCAGATGCACCTGAACCAGTCATGTCTGCACGTGCTTTTGATCTCGTAAAGTATGGATGATCCGCCAGTTCGTAGTCAACGCAAATCAACCTTTGGGGAAATAAATCAAAAGGAAGAAAACCTTCAAAAAGAGATAAATATTAGTATCAAGTGGGTGATCGTTATTTCAATAATATTAATAATTAGGCAGATAATTGAATAATAACATGTGTTACGCAACAAGTAAATCATATAACAAAACAGATATTCAAAAAGAAAATGTATCTTAATATGCACGGGACCTCTTTTTGCCAGAGGTGGGCCTAAATGTCAAACATAACGTTTTATGATAGATTGATCCAAGCCATTAATTTGTGACAACTCGAGTTTAGGAAACAAAAGGCCAAGTTTTCATTAATACAAAAAAAAAAAAGAGTACAACGAAGAAACTAAGAAATACATAAAAAAAAATGACATAATATAAAGACAAATCTAAGACTTGTCCTAAACTGCTATCAATCACGCTGGTGGAGAAAGTGAAGATGATGCTCCCACGTTGCTAGGTCCTGCTCCCGCATTGTCCAAATATCGCATTATATTTTCCATTTGAGCCCACATTTCAGGAGTGACTATTTTGGTTCCAAGACGAGAATGTCTTATCTAATCGTCGTTCCAATATCCTCAAAACCTTGCTCACCTTTTGAACTTATGCTATTGCGACCTTCTTGAAACCATATCTGGTATTCTGGAATTTCCTTTTCAGGCCCATTTCCGATATCTATCGTGAGGATATTGTCCCACTCATGAAGAATCTCTTTGGCTCTAGGGACTTCAAAGTTTGGTCCAAAGTAAATTTCAGAATTTCTCATATTTGCTCGAAGAGGAATTACTTGCGCTTGACCAAACTGTTGAAGCACGCGCACTGGAGCATATGGTTGGAGACCTTTCAATCCAATAAGCTCAATATAATAAAACCTTCTACATCTTATATAGGCAGGGGAACGTGGGAGTAATGGATATTTCCACTGAACTTGGTCACTAGTGCGGTGGGCCAGAAACTCATACCAATCATCAGTACCAATCGGATACACAAACTCTTTCATCCTATCGTAAAAACTATTAATATGATTTATGTTGCTAAAACATATGTCATCCATATTTTTACGTTGGTGAAAATGTTCCAATGCCCACATTTGTAAAAGAAGATTGCAACCTTCAAAGAAGTTTGATTCCCCTCTTTTACATTTCCCAAGAGCTCGAAATATTTCTGCTAAAATCATGGGAACCACAGTGAGTTCTTCGCTATCTACTCCCTCAAAAAGTACTCGAGCCACAGAACCTATGCAAGTGCTAATGCATCCGTGTTCTCGTGGGAATACCAAAGTCCCTAGTAAAGCCACAGCAAATGCAATAGGACGTCTAACTTGCCAATGAACTTGAGTACAAGAGAATTCTTTCCTAAACAGCTTGTAACTATTCGAGCGTCCATACCTCTCATATAGGTAGTCCAAAGAAACCCAATTATTTTCGAAGCACCGAAGTTTCTTTTCATTTTTCAACCCTAAGTAGCAAAAGAATTTCTTCCCTGATTGACTGTGTGGAATAATTTGACCCATTCTTTGATACTTCAAACTGGTGAAATAGAGGATTTCCTCCAATGTAGGGGTTAGTTCAAAGTCTTTGAAGGCGAACACAACACGGTCTGGATCCCAAAATTGAATTAGTGCTCTAATCACGTGTTTATCGGGGGTGATTTTGAATAGCAGAGGGAGGCACCCCAACCTTCTTGTAATCGCTAATTTCTCAGTTGGAGTGAAATTTTCCCACCATGTCCTCAATTTGTGCGGGAAACCCTCGACCATCCTAACTTTGGGCACTTGGGGGACTGAACTCATCCTACATTACAAATTGAAATGAAATGAACACATAAATTCCAAACTCAGTATGTCAAAATTAGGCTTGGATCTGTCTATCATTATCACGTTGCACAAAACATGCTTGTTGGTCGTTGGGTCGTGAAACCCGTCGACGAAAGGGTGGATTTCTTAAATGTGGATTCGATACCCGGGATCGATCCACCTAAGGTGAATGCATGCATGACTTAAATTAAGGAGTGATTTAGCTCTATCTTATGTTTTCTAAGATTTGGCTTACTAGACACAAGGTTCCCGAGTGGACAACTCGAGTGAGAAGGCTACGCGGTCACACGGAAAAAGATCCGGACACCCCGCGCATATGCCAACTCTCCTAAATTTGGGATTTTGAAAGAAATTTGCGGGTGCGCAAAACACACCTCGCGTGTACGTGTGATAGTGTGAATTTTCCAGAATTGGAGGAATTATGATCGGAATGACAGTTTATATGAAGAGTAGCAAATAAACAATTTATATAAAACAGTAACAAATAAGCAGTTTATGTCATATAAGCATGATAAGTAAAGCATCTAGGCATTTAAAATGAAACAAACAACAAAAATGAAACAAGCAGGTGTTAAAAACTTAATTATTAACCCAAGTTTGTTATGGTTTAGAACCTAAAGTCCCCAGTGAAGTCGCTAAGTTGTTATACCCCAATTTAACCAAGGTCAAATTAGTGTACAACATATTGGTAATTTCCAAATTAATTAATTTAAGAAGTCGCCACCTAATTATTTTTAAGGCAAATTAGGATACCTAAATTATTAACTATGTAATGCTAAAAAAAATGACTTCAATTAAGGTCTACTAACTTATGTGATTCTAGGTAAGAGTTCTAATTCATCCTAAAGGGAAGGGGTAAGGCATCCCTTAAGATTAGTTTTAAAACTATTAACCGGCCAAACTTAGGTTAATTACCTTTTTAAAAGAAATGAATGCTAAAGATTAAGTAATTGAGTAGCCAAGTTGGAAAACATTATTTTATTTTAAAGCTCTTATTACAATTGTATTAGAGTGAAAAAGATTTAGGGAAGAGTAATTTCTTTAGATCCATTTAGATAAATCCATGACTAAAAATAAGTACTTAAAAATAGACGCTTGTTCATTGATTGACAAGGTACTCTCGTTAGAAAAAGTTTAAGAAAGAAAAAAAAGGTTTAGAACAAAATATTTTCTTTATAAGACATTGCCAAGTTTAAACAAAACTTAAAAAATTAGTGAGTTTAAAGTGATACAAAATGAAGTGTTTAAGAAGATTTTTTCAAGTGAAGTTAATAAAAGCTAAAGTAATTAATAGGTTTATTGATAGCTAAAGGTACCCAAACCCAAACATCTATATTAAGTTACCTATTTGAGAATTCAAAGATAAGAATATCTTCAAGTCACGTAAACTAGTGTAACACGTAAAGAAAAACATATAAACAAATAATGAAAAAATGTAAGTAGCCATAAGTGACTCCAAGATAGGACCACTTGTTTTGCTTGCAATTTCGAATGGTCAAAGATGTAGTGAAGACTCCATGTGCGGGTGTGAGGATAATGTTGAGTCTATGAGACTCGATAATTTGCTAGAGTCTTGAATCAAAGACTCCATTTTGCTCCAAAGTTCATGCAAATAATGAGAGGATAAAGAGATTAGTAAGACAATTCAACTTTAAACGATATTGTATTAAGTAGATAGTGCTAAGTACAATCACTCATCAAACGTATTATCTAAATTATAAAGCATGCCAATGCCGAATGGAAAACTCAAAAACTAAGATATTTGGACATTTTTTAATAGCCCTTACGAAAATACAAGGAAGGAAACCAAAATATCCAGCTCTACTAATTAATGAATTAAGCAAAAGAATTTAAAATCTATATTCTGTATACATAGAGATAAGATAGGAATCTTAGCTAACATGCCAAGGATCATGATTTTTCTTACTCTAACGAAAATGAATTAAATAAGGTAAAGACATAAAGAAAATTAAAAATAACCTGCATATCATTTCTAAAAAAAAAAAGTCAACAACAAACATCAACTCTTTCTAGCATACTTTTAAAGTAAGAAAAATACAAGCTAAAATTTTTTATCATATAAAAGACATTAAAGGGACATTAACTAACAACAAAACCGATTTCAAGTAACATTATCAAGTTGTCTAACACGCCAAAGAAATGCACTTTAGAGCTATACCAATCTCAAAAATAATCCTTACTATTATGACTAAACTAAGTAAAATTATTTGCAAGGCGTGATTTTTCTTTGAAATTAAAGAAACTTATACCCATATATATAGTACCATAATCTGCCGAGAGAAATTCAAAACTCACATTTGCAGGTACATTATTAAAAAAAAACATGATCTGCAACTTACTTATCGACCAAAACAAAACAAAATTATGTCCTTTAAGCATTTTTTTTTTTATAGGAATCCATATAAATACCAGATAATCAGTAACTTGGAGCAGAAACTGACGCGTATAAACTTAAGTAAAGTGCAACCAATTTCTATCCTTAACAATTACACATAACGAAATAAAAAAAAATCGGTTCAGGTGTCAAACAGAACATAACCACATTTTCTAAAATTACCTTCGTTAAGATAAACTAAACAAAAAAGTAACATATCAGTTTGTTAGAGCTAAACCAAATAAAACTACTGCAAAGCAAGATTTACTTAAGAACTAAAAAAAAAAAAAAAGTTCAACACAAAGATGACGAAACAAAGGAAAAAAAAGAGAGAAAAAAGGAGGCGATTATCACCTGTTGCGGGGCAGCGAACGGGGTGCTTCGATCACAAGTCTACACTCGAACCAAGACGAGTATGAACACACTCAAAACTAGAATCCTGACAGATATCGAAAGAGAGCTAAAAGATGAAGTGTTTTAGAGAAAATATTAACGCTTATGAGTATGAGCGGCTGAAAAAATATTCTCCTAAAGATAGGGTTGAATGCGAGTATTTATAGACAATTTAGAGCTAGGGCTGTGTTTTGGGCGAGATTTTGAAATTTCGGATTTTTGAACTTGGTCAAGATAGCCGTTCAAACTTGAATGACGTGAGTAGTTGAACATAGCAGCCTTCACGCTATTGATATGCATATATCACGGAAATGGGGTAGTTGAGCTCTGTCAATGGTTGACAGACATTGTTGTTCTTTTTTTTTTCTGAAAATGTGAGGGAAGAAGAGAGATGAGGCAGTTGTTGTTCTCTCAATCTTAGGTCCAAATTTGGGCTGAAAATTTTGTTTTTGGGCTCGATTTTTTGGGCTATTTTGATATAAAACAATGGCTGAAGCGTTTTGGTCTCTTTTGGAGGCTTTGGACCGAATTTTGGGCTTCTTTCAGACATATTTTAGTGTAGCAAATGGGCTGAAATGTTGGTCTGATTTGAGGGGTTTTGGGCCGAAATTCTTAGCCTTTTTCCTTTCTTCTTTTAAATTATTTTGGGCTTCTAACTTAATAACTAATACAATACATATTAAAAAGTGATAACTAATGATCTACATAATAAAATATCAATATTACAACCTGACACTAATATAAAGTACAAATACAAAAATAAGATTTTATAATTAATTAAATAGGTTAGAAACTTGAGAGAAGGCGACAACAAATAGTTATTTTAAGAAAATAAGGTGTAGAAATGAGAATAGTAATTTCAATAATAAAACATAAAATTTTAGTAGATAAATAGTCGTAGTAGTAAAATAGTTGTGAAAAAAAAAAAAAGAAGAAGATAATTTTATATATTATTAATTTAGAAACTCGAAAACAATGAATTAGAAGAAAGGAGGGTCAAAATTGGGTGTCAACAGCCTCGACCCCCCCACCCCCACCCCAAAAAAAAAAAAATTAAGTTTGTTTTTAAAAAATATTTTCGACTTCAAAATTTCATTTTTTCACCCCTACCCTCGATCCCCCACCCACCCAACCCCTACCAGCCCCCCCCCCCCCCCCCACCCCCCAAAAAAAATATAAGTTTATTTTAAAAAAATATTTTTAACTTTAAAATTTCAATTTTTCACCCCTACCCTCGACCTCCCCACCCACGCCCTACCAGCCCCCCCACCCCCACCCACCCCTTACCAGTCCCCCCACTCCCCAAAAAAAATTTTAAGTTTGTTTTTAAAAAATATTTTTAAATTCAAAATTTCAATTTTTCACCCCTACCCTCGACCCCCACCCCCCACCCCCCAAAAAAAATTAAGTTTGTTTTTTAAAAATATTTTCAATTTCAATAATTATTTTCTACTCTAGTAAAAATAAAAGAAATTTTTCATTCATAAATCAAACACTAAAAAAAAAATTCGGAAAATATTTTCTACTTACCAATCAAATATGAGAAAATAAGTCAAAAATCAACTTGTTTTCCAAGAAAACATTTTCCTTCATACCAAACACACCCTAAGTTAATCCAAGCAGGTTCTAAAACACACTTAGTAAAGTAGATGGTAGCTTAGGTAGGAAAATAGAACAACTGATTGTTGGTCTAGTTAATTATGAGGTGTGTTTTAATACATGAATAGTAATAGTTCAAGTATAAACTGATAATTGAGGTGTGAAACTTGCAAGAAAGTGATACTTCAATTATATTTTTGACTATTAACTATTTTGATTTCTTGACTCATATAGTGAAAATGTTCAAATATTGTCATTGAATTATGAGAAATGGCCTAGTAAATCTTCTGGTAATAGTTGTGATAAAATTTATCCACAAATGTACTTACTCAATAATGATGGAAACTTTTCAGTTTCAATGGCACTTTCGTAGAGCGTAGAGAATCGATTATTATAATGGTGGTTTATCTAGAGCGATGATCGATGTCCTACGTGATATAATACATGTAGGACACAAAATTGTCACGCAGTATGTCATGTAGGACAAATGTGTCTATTTATTCAACTTTATATAAGTTTAAGTGTTTACTTATGCACATCCAAAGTTAAATGTCAAGTTGCCCGCTGAATCCAAGTTAAGGGTCATGTTTATGTTTAACGTCAAACATAAATATGTCATTTAACTTCACCTCATTTCACATTTATGCCCTCTATCTTTGGGTGTGCATAAGTAGACACTAAAACTTGTATGAAGTTGCACAAATTATAAACACACACGTCCTATGTGGCATGCTGCATGACAATTTGTGTCTTACGTGGTGTCCTACGTGTATTAAGATACATATAAATTTATCTACTTGTTCAATTTTATACAAATTTAAGTGTCTTATGCACACCCAAAATTGAATGACATAAATGTGAAATACAGGCAAGTTAAAGGACACATTTATATATTATACATTTCCCTTATGTATATAATTGGTTCCTCACATGTAGGTCTAACTCTTTTTTTTATTGAGCATACATACATGTAAAATGTTTTAATGTTTCTACGTGACAATAAATTTCAAACTCATGATTGTTATTATGTTTTAATATCATATTGAATTATGTTATCATTACATCTAAAAATTTAAACAATTAAAATAAAAATATACTTTAAATAACTTAAGTATGTCTTCCACAAGTCCCATTACTACTTTAAATAACTTAATTATGTCTTCAACAGGCGCAAGATCAAGACTAAATCCTCCTCTTCCAAAAGGGTATTTTGGAAATGCAATTCATGGCAAGCAAGTAAAGACAAGTGTAGGGGAGCTACTAGAAAATGGACTAGGATGGGTTGCAATGCAAATAAACAAGATGGTTGTTTCTCAAAACTCTGAAGAAGTGGTGAAAATATACAAAGGATGGGTTGAAAATCCAGTTATATTAAAAAAGGGGTCAGTATATGAGGGGAATAATAGATTGCTCATTAGTAGTTCTCCTAGGTATAATATTTATGATAATGATTTTGGTTGGGGAAAACCAATTGGTGTGAGGAGTGGAATGGCAAATAAACGTGATGGGAAAATTACTTTATTTCCTGGTGAAAAAGAAGGAAGTGTAGATATTGAAGTTTGCATTTTGCAAGAGACTTTGGAAGCATTGGAGAATGATCAAGAATTCATGGAGTTTGTAACCAAGACTTAAAACTTCCTTACTAGGATTAACTTTTTTGTGTTGTATTGGCTTTTTATTTACTTCTTGTTTAAAAGTATTGTCTCCGTTTTAATTTATGTGATGTGATTTGATTGGATACGAAGTTTAAAATCATAGATAGAAAGACTTTTGAAACTTGTAGTCTACAATAAGTTCTGTAAAGGTTTTGCAGAAAAGTCTATCAGAAGTCATATCATCAAAATATTAATGTGCTAACACACACGAAAAAAATGAGAAAATCATTGAATTCCTGTAAAATGACGCTCATAAATGCCCAAAATATGTAAAAAATGGTGATGCTTCACGTTTTTCTCCCCCAACTCCATAGAGGGTTCCGTAAAGTTTTGCAAAAAAAGTCGATTGGAAATCATATCACCAAAATATTCACGGGTTAACACATAAAAACTGAGAAAATTGCCTCATTCCTGTAAAATGGCTCCAAAATGCCTGAAATATGTCCAAAAATGGTGAGGCTTCACGACTGCTCCACCAACTCCATACGGAGGTTCTGTAAAAGTTTTGCTAAAAAGTCGATCAAAAGCATATCACCAAAATATTCATGAGCTAACACACAAAAAGTTGAGAAAATCGCCTAATTCTTGTAAAATGACTCCTAAATGACCAAAATGTGTCAAAAAAAAGATGAAGCTTCACATACTACTCCCCAACTCCATGTGGAGGGTTTCGTAAAGATTTTACAAAAAAGTGTGAAAAACATATCACCAAAATACACGAAAAACTGAGAAAATCGCCTAATTCCAGTAAAATGGCTCCTAAATAACCAAAATATGCCCAAAAAATGGTGACTCTTCACGTATTGCTCCCCCAACTCCTAAAAAAGAAATGTATCATTTTTTACTACTAACTAAAAAAAAAAATCATATAAATTGAAACAAAAAAAATACTTATGAAAAAATACTTTTCGTAAGATTTCCAACAAAACAGCATAAGTCAATTGGAATTTTGCTTGAATGTTTTGAAAAGAGTAAACGTGCATTAATATTTATTTACGGAAGAAACCATATCTACATCCAATTTCCTTATTGAATAAAACATAGCATGAGAATAGTTTGTTATATTTTTAATTATTGATATATCTTCCTGAAAAAAGTCAAAGGCCAACGAATTCCAATCCTGCATTAGCATAGAAAGTCGAATTTAAACGAAGTTCTAATACACGCTTGGGTCATCGAATGAAAATAAAATAAAATAATACTAATGAATAGACAAAATGCTGTTGTTTTAATTTTTTGATGCACAACATGATAAAGTGGTGTACGAAATCAGAATTTTAAAATTTAAAATTTCGAGTTCAAGTGATAATATTTATATTTTAAATAAATTGTTTGAACGTTAGTTGAATATAATATATGTGTGTCTTAATTATTAAAGTAGTTATACATTTCCAATTTAGAGTACAATGAATTACTATATTATAGAAGAGTCTAGGAATGACTATCAATGTTCCAATAAGATCACTATTAATGTCCAATATATTTATAAAATATATAAGTGGGCCCATCACTTTCCACTTAAATACTACATATTATATATTATTAATTACTATACTATAAATCACTACTAATATCCAATATAATTATCAAGCTATATAAGTGAGCCCCACCACCTTCCACTTAAATACTACATATTATATATTAATTACTATACTATAAATGACTTAAATACTCCATATTATCTATTACAATAATTAACAATTATTTGACACTTTAAATTCTATCAATGCCATATAAATTAGGATAAAAAACCTAACATATAATATTTAAATATATTTAAAAATAATATAAGTAATACTATACATTACAATAATTAACAGCTTAATTATTTAAAACTTATATAAAAAATTTAATTGACTTTCTAAATTCTATTGGTACCACATAAAATGGATTATATGATAACTATATATTGTTTGAAATTGACGAAAAAGAAACAATAAATTACAATAATTAATAAAAAAAATACTTGATGAAATTGACGAAAAACAAATTATAAATTACAATAATTAACAAAATAAATCTCTCGACTCCAACAAATCTATCAATTAATGCCACATAAATTGGGACATGGCAAATAACATATATTATTAAAAAATTAGGTTCAAAATGTAGTATAAAATACAATAATTAACAACTTAAATTAGAACAAATACAGTAATAAATATTATTTTCAAAATTATGTTAAAAAAAGTACTACAAATCACAATAGCTAACAATTTAAAATATTTTTAAAATCATATAAAAATTTCAATAACTTCTCAAATTCCATAATATGACATAAATTAAAAAAAAGTAAAAGTATTATAAATTGTAATAAATAATACAACAATTTAAATTACTTAAAATTTAACGACTTAAAAATATTTTTTAAAATGTATTAAAATTTTGGTTGATTGTCAAAACTTTACATGTGCCACATAAATTGGGACATGGACAGTCACACATATTTTTAAAAAAAATTACATTAAAAGTATTCTATCAATTAACAACATATATTGTTTGAAATTGACGGAAAAAAAAACTATAAATTACAATAATTAACAAAATAAATCTCTCGACTCCAACAAATCTATCAATTAATGCCACATAAATTGGGACATGGCAAATAACATATATTATTAAAAAATTAGGTTCAAAATGTACTATAAAATACAATAATTAACAACTTAATATATTAAAGAGACATATAAAAAATGGCTAATATTTGAAATTCTGCGTGTGCCACATAAATTAGAACAAACAGAGTAATAAATATTATTTTCAAAATTATGTTAAAAAAAGTACTACAAATCACAATAACTAAAAATTTAAAATATTTTTAAAATCATATAAAAATTTTAATAACTTGTCAAATTCCATAATATGACATAAATTAAAATAAAAAAACAATATATATTGGGCCCCGTGCTGGCACGGGGTCCTATATCTAGTACTCCCTCTGTCCCATTTTATGTGGCACCATTTCCTTTTTGGTCAGTCCCAAAAAAAAGTCACATTTCCTTATATGGAAAGTTTATAAAGGTACAATTCCTCTTTATCCTTATTGATCTCACTTAATCTTAAAATAATACTCCAATACATTTATGAGGAGAGAGAAAAAAGAGTCTACTTTTTAAAGGGCAATTTGGTAAACATTTCAAAGTCTTCATTTATTTCTTAAACTCCGTACCAATCAAATGTTGCCACATAAAATGGGACGGAAGGAGTATAATATATGTGTCTTTATTTCTATCGATAAAAATAAAGTGATTTAATTCACTGATTGATTGAGGTGGATAGATAGACATTTAGTGGGCTCAGAGCCCTAGGCAATTCACACTTAGCTTTTTTTTCTGTATTTTTATTACTTTTTCCCTTGGTTTTCTAATAATGTCAAATTTCGTATTTAAGTAATTGACATGTCTATATCATTTTTTTCTAAAATAAAATAAAATATGTCTATATTAAAGATGGTTATACCCTCATCCTTTTCAAATTTTTTATCTCCCTCTATATGGATGTAATCTTTTTATAGTTAATCAAAGGTTGTTTGAATATAGAGAGTTTAAATTATGAATTTGCTTCTGATTCTTATAATGATATCAAGTTAATATATAATAATAATTAGGCTCATAATCCAATATATATTATATAAATTTCTTAATATAAATACACTGTTTGAATAAAAATTACTGAATTCACATGAATCAATACTTTATATGTGAACTAATGACAGTTTTATAATTAATTGTTAAATAAAATTGGATAAAGGATAAAATGACCGTTCAATTAATTTTGACGAATATTTTTGTAATTCAACTTTAAATTAGATGGGTATTGTCTCGATTTTTTCTTTGCAAGCTTACTTGGCTCATCTATGGTGATGTGTTACTTGATGTCGCAAGCGTGATGAAAGGGAAGAAGTCTTTATCGGTATTTGATCTCAAAGGTGAGTACACTTTTAATTACTTTCCGTTTCTCGATTTAGGTGATACAGTTGAAATTATGACAGTAAATTTGAACATAGATTCATAAAATTTATATATTTGAAAATTATATAAAAAATATTATATATAAATATAATAATTAATTATTTCAAATATTTAAAAGACATATAAGAAAATTTGCTTTACAAAAAACTTGATTGATCACTGTATTCTTGGAAATGATCTTCAATAATTGGGGTAAAATATGAGCCTACTTTATAAAATTGATCCAAATAAGTCCTTGTTCACTAATGTCATAATCTTTTCAACATGTTGCCTTTACTTATTTATTTATATTTATAGTGAAGGATAAAAATTATACTCAAAGTATCTCAAGTTTTTCATGAGTTTTAGGTGGGTGAGTTTGTTAACTAAATTATCATCAAATGTTTATCTAAACATATTTCTATTAAATTAGGTCTTAGGCCTAACTCACACCCCAAAAGCTAGTTCAAAGGGAGAAGGATTGTCCAAGCCTTATAAGGAGTCAGCCCATCTCATTAACCATCAATGTGGACTTTTGTCATTCTTTAACAATTTCAACTATCAATTGTTCATTTCTATCTAAAATATCATTATTGTTCAGGTAGCTCTATTTCCATAAACATTTGGTGATAGTTCAAAACTTCAGATAGGAAACTCACACATAGTTAAGATATGAAAGTCAAAAATCTAGAATACTTTAACTAGATTTTTGACCCTTGGCAACAATATTGTGGCGGTCAAGAATGGATAGAAATATACATCATTCTTTCCGAGACATATTAAAAAGAAAATAGTATCATTTAATAAATTGAGACAGACATAAGGAATACTTAATTATGTCTTCAACAGGCGCAAGGTCAAGACTAAACCTTCATCTACTAGAAGGGAATTTTGGAAATGCAGTTCATATCGAGATAATAAAGACAAGTGCAAAGGAGTTACTAGAAAATGGACTAGGATGGGTTGCAATGCAAATAAATAAGATGGTTGTTAAGAAGTGATCAAAATGTATAAAGGATGGATTGAA